AGTTTATTTTTCCCATCAAGCTACTATGCGTTTTAACGACGCACAATCTTGGTCCTCATAATTTTGGACCACCCTGTACTCATCACAGTTGCACGATTTCCTGTAATTACTCAACAAATTGAAACCAGTTGAACACAAACCTGCAAGCACACAAACCTGCAAGCGTTTTCTGTTTAATTTATTGATTGGGACAAATACGTATTTAGTGACTCTAAGTTAGCACAGCAATGGACTGATTGGTATCAAATGCTTCTTCCACTGTTGGCTGCATTTCGACTGCCGTCCCTTCCATATCGACTGCAGTCACGGCGCTCTGTGGAATTGGATCATGCATAACTGATTTCTCAACGAGCGAAAGCAAAGATGGAACAGTCTGCAAGAGATGATGTTACACACGAACAACCAGCCATGCTTACAAGGGAAAGGATGGTAGGTCGAAGTGGCCGTATAAAATGAGATGTATACCACCTGATGCGTCTCCAGACGCTGATTCCAAATCTGCTAAACGACTCTCCGAACGGAGTTATGAAGCGTAATAGCTCAGTGGTGATGGTCCGGGGTGGCAGGTAAAAGCTCGTAGGATCGGTTCCTTTGCAAGTTTGTTGCTTTGCTTTTGTCCGCAACACTTCTAGAGACAAAAGCAAAGCAACAAACTTGCAAAGGAACCGATCCTACGAGCTTTTACCTGCCACCCCGGACCATCACCACTGAGCTATTACGCTTCATAACTCCGTTCGGAGAGTCGTTTAGCAGATTTGGAAGGCAGATTTGGAATCAGCGTCTGGAGACGCATCAGGAGGTATACATTTCATTTCGAACGGCCACTTCGACCTACCATCCTTCCCTTGTAAGAAGTAAAACCCTTTACCTGCCAATCATAAGGGACATTCAAATTGATACCCTGCCGTGTGACACTGGCAAGAACCATTCTCTGTATAAATTGATACCGTGGCCTTTCTTCGAATCTGCAATATTTCTATCTCTATTGTAATACCTTTACGGCTATAAGAGAGCAATGTCGCACAGCCCAGTTATGGAGTCAATTCAAGGGAGTGAGTAGGGAGCGGGCGGGGAGGGAGAGAAAACTTTACCGCACGCGAGGCGTGCTTTGTGACTTCACAGTGACAGTGCGGTCAACGGCCATCACAATCGGCATGAAGTCTGATTGACTATTGAATCCCTGGCAGATCCTCAGCCATTGGTGCGGCGCTGAACATTGTCCGTCCCTTCTACATCCGATTGCTATGAGGACACAGTATACACGTTACGTGCGCTACACCAATCAGTTTTCTTGTGGAGATCACAACTCCCTCTGCAGGTTCAATCGACCTTCGAATGGTATACCAATTTTCAATGAGCCTGAGTATGTATTGCGATCGGCCGGCCTTGTGTACCTCATGCTCCCTATCGCAAATACGACAGAGAACAGCACAAATACAAATACGGATTTCGCAACGAGCCAGCCACTGGAAAATAAGTTAGAGATGATCAGTGACGCACGGATGAAGAAAAGATGAGAAAAATGGCCTATTACCCAAAAAGTGGGCGGAAGTGGTGTAGTGGCAAGTGGCACGCTTACCACGCGAGCGGTCCGGGGATCAAATCCTGGGTCGTGAGTCGCCCGGGCCAACCAAGCCTTCCATCCCTCCGGGGTCGGTTAATTGGTACCAGACTTGTCTGGGAGGATAAAAACACTGACTTGTACATCGGCTGGCCCCCGCAAGTCATTGTATAGGCCACATCGCATTCAAACGCCACTACGAATGTACAAATGGAAGTAGAATGCGTGCCGCATCCCAAAAAGGGATTGATCAACGGCAAATGCTTTATCCTTTTATCCTTTAAAAAGTGAGATCCCCTACGCCCGTGATTTCACTGATGTGACTCTCATTGGTGCTGCCCTTTTTGGCGCTAAAGCTCTCTCTGCTGAAGCTGCTAGAGACTCACACACGAGACGACTTGAGTAGGAAGGGGGGGGGGGGCGTACCAGTTCAATAGCACATCATCAGGGTCGCGGGAAGGCTTTGCTATATCGCGGGGACATATCTTTTAATGCGAATTGCGTGTCGAGACACTTTGAAAAGTCTATCTGATTTTCCGCTAATGTTAACTAAGTTCTCCCTTTTTCGACCATCGCCTTTACCATGAAATCCTCCTTTCATGTGAAGAAAACCGCGTTGTATTATTCTGTCACGACACATGTGAGAGAGCTAATTTTTTAATTAATACGCGTGATGGATTTTCCACTTGCCCGGTAGGCAAGAAGTGCGGGTTCCAGTCCCGTCTGGGGCGATAGTCTTGTGCACAACCCAGCATTCTTGTGGCACGTCACGACACGATGCAGTTTCGTGCACTTTCTGTATGGTGCAATCTGAGGCGTCCACGGGCCGCGTGCAGCAAGCCCCGACAAGGGGATGGGTCTTTGGAACTCTGCGTCTCTACTCAGGTCGGTGATGTAGTCCTCGTGATTAAGAACAGGGGTATGCGACCAGAGGTTTAGTTTTGGGAACCCATTCCTTCGACGGGGCTTGCTGCACCCGGCCGCATGTGTTACGCGATCTGGTGGCTTCAGTTCGCGCGCTACAGAGAATTTGCATGGCATGCGCTTGTGCTATGCTGCATAGATGGGAAAGTCCCCAATCAAATTTTTGGGTAGCACTGTAGCTCATTCAAAAAATTCAAACAAAGCGAAACGTCCACTATTTCACGGTGCTTTGAATTCTATCATGCAAAAATCGGTTGACATAAATTCACCTAGTAGCTGTGATCTTGTTGAATATTGGAGTAAATTCAGATGGCAAAGTGCTCAACATTTCCGATTTGTATGTGCCACGTGCGTACTGCTTCCATTCTCTTGTCAGTCCGTGATCCGGAGACGTTTTCGCGTTATACCATGGAAGACATCCTAAATGGGTTCACTTCGGTGCCGCCTGGTGGTAGTTATATGAACATTTGAATTCATGAATCGGTATCAGATCTTTGAAAAAATCCTTTCTTTCTTCAAGTGTGAATGAGATGACAGAGTTTCTAGGCGCAGGTGTCGTTGCACTCCCGGGACTTGGCGGCCGCGACTTGGCGGTACGCCACAATTGCGGTAATGCCATCCCTTGACTGCATAGACCGCTGCCATTCTTACCTTTCCCAGCAGACGTGGTCTGTGCCCTCTGGTACGACGCACTCTCTCGAGTCCTTTCTCGCCTGGTAGCGCTGTGGTTCTCCGTTATACCATGGTCGACCTTACATGAAAGGTAACCCACAAGTTCAGAGCCTTCCTTGGCTCTTTTTTTCTCATTGACGATTCCCTTCGCACCTCATTCTTCACTTGACTTTTTGGGGCGAAATAATGCATCATCTAGATCGAGATCTTTGCCTTTGGGTAGTTGCTTTCTGCTAGATCCTCTAAAGCTGTTATGGGGTGCGTGACGATTCAATCGTGGCGATGGCTAGGTCGCCGCGCCAGCCGCCGCAGCCCGCGATGCGACGTCGGCCGTGGCTAGAATTCAGGGTTCTAGCATTGGGGAATGTAGGATTAGATGAAGTTTCCAGTCGTGAAACACGGTATATGATCACCTGCCCCTTAAAATACAGGATCCTTGTCCTTTGCCATTATTTACAAACTTATTCTGTCATAGTAATGTTATTGCTTTCTCCACCGTTCC